TAGCTGTCCAATTAATTTCTTTCTGTTTTTGGTAGAGACGGGGTCTCGCTCTTGCTCAGGCTGGTCTCGAACTCCTGAGCTCAAACAATCCGCCCGCCTCAGCCTCCCAGAGTGCTAGGAACAGATATTGTTTTGATTTTAAAATTTTATTTTTAAATTGTAAAATACACATAATATGAATTTTACCATTTTTAAGTATACTGTTTAGTGGTATTCATATCGTTTTGCATTCGCATTGTTGTATAACCGTTACTGCCTTCCATCTCCAGAACTTTTCTTATCTTTTAAAACTAAAACTCTGTTCCCATTAAACAATAAATCCCCATCTGCTTTGCCACTGGCCCTTGGCAACCACCATATTACTTTCTGCCTCTGTGAATTTGATTACACTAGGTACCTCATATTATTAATAAATGGAATTGTACAGTATTTGTCCTTTGTGATTGGCGTATTTCACTTAGCATGTCTTCAAGGTTCATCCATGCTATATAGCATGTCAGAATTTCCTTCCTTATTAAGGCTGAATAATACTGCATTATATATATATATACCACATTTTGTTTACAAATACCTGTTCGAGTACCTGCTTTCAATTCTTTCGGGCATCTACTCAGAAGTGGAATTGCTGGACCATGTATGGTAATTGTATTTTTAATTTTTTTAGTAATTGCCATACTGTTTTCCATAGTGGCTGTAGCATTTTACGTTCTCATCAACAATACACAAAGGTTTCAGTTTTTCCATATCTAGTTTGCACCAACATGTGTTATTTTCTGGTTTTTTGGATGATAATCATCTTTTAAACAGGGAATTTTAATTTTTCTATTTTTATTTCTTTTATGTGGCTTATTTTGGTCTTTGGTAGAACTGTGATTTGTTAAGAACTATGATGTGATTATTTTTCTTATTCTTAATTGAACTGCTATAAGGTGTTTCTTGTTTTATTATTTTTTTGTTCAATAGCTTGTTCTGGGTGCCCTTTCCTTGATAATATAGTTTTTCCACAGAAGCCTATCTTCTTTTTTCAAGATGAGAGAGCACTGAAAGTACTAGGTGAAAATATGAGGAATTTGAGGAATAATGTATTAAGAGCTTAAACTCTTAAACTCTTTCTTATGCTCTGGAGCTAGGTTGTTTAATGCAATAGCCCCTGGCCACCTGTGGCTATTTGAATTAAAGTTAATTACAATTAAATAAAATTAAAATTTCAGTTTCTTGGTTGCACTAGCTACATTTCAAGTACTCAGGAGCCACATGTAGCTAGTGATTGCTGTATTATCCAGTGCTGATATAGAACATTTGTTCTGATTATTCAACTTTAGAGTTTGAATCTTTTTCTGTCTTTTTCATCTTGACAGTCTTTTCCTTTTTGTCCTCTAAGATCCTGTGAAATTCATTCTTCATTGTTTAAGAAAGCCTATTTATAAAACATTTTCAGAATTCTTAAAACTCTTAGAGTTTAAAGTAAGATGAGATTTAGTAGAAACTCAGTGTATTTTAAGGATAAAGGAGAAATTCTCATTGATTATATTGAGACTGTGCTAATGGGTGAGCTCCTAAATATAGTATAAATAAAGAAACAGTGGCTCCGGGGCTTAGAAGAGGGAAATATTATCTGTTTAGTTTAAACTGAAAGCAGAGAAAGATATGGCAGTTAAATTGGGGGACTCTTTGGTGAGTCATAGTCATTGCCTTTTATAATAACTGCCATTTTATATTCTGATTGGCTCAGAAACTATGTATAGGTCAATAATTTTAAAAGCATTAAAAAATTGAGGTTACTATACCTGAAAAGTCAGTTATTTTATGTATGCTACAAATGTACAATTAAAAGTAATTCTTAACGTTCTCACAAGGCCTGTCAAATACTGTTTGCTAGACAAATTTTTATTTTTAAACCCATTAATTTTTATCCCATCCACCCAAAACTCTGACTTCATAATCACATCTAGGAAGTGTACATTCCTGGTAATTTAGTTTTAACCATATCATCATAATAATTTTGTTTTTTTATAAGATATAGAACTTTCTGCACTGATGGTAGTGTGCTTATTAGTTAAATTGTATGGCAATAGCAATAGAGTGTTACAATTTGATAAGATAAATATGGAGAGTATAAATCAGCCTTGTAAGTTTCATGATCAAAGAACCAGTTTTTCTTTTTGTGAATATATTGTCTTCACTAGTATTTCAGTAATTGGCCCAGGAGATGGATCTAAGTTAGACAAGGCAGCGCTTTCTATTTTGTATGCACTTCTCATTTAGTAGCTACAAGAATACAGTTACACTAGCATTTGGATTGCAACATACAAGATGTAGATAGAGGCAGAGATTAAGATGCATGTTAAACTGTTGATACTGGAAGAAAAAAAGATTAGGTTCGCATTTTAATAATTTTAATTTATATAAAGCTTTTAAAGAAGTTACACAATAAAGAATTGCTGCCTTTATTCTATTTGGTTACATGTGTACGTGTATATACCTTCTTAAATTTTGCCCCTGGTAAATTTTTGTTCTGTTAGGAACAAGTCAGATATTTATTGTATTACCCTATAAATGTTGAACCGGGCTACAAAAGTGGGTTTCTTTTATTAGGATTGATGGGATGAAGATGTGAGAATGAATTGTAAGCTTGAAATAAAAATTGCTTAAAAATTTTTTTTCCAAGAAGAAAGGCTGTGTTGTTTGGTGATAGCCAGGGACTGACTGAGCATTTTGGCTGTATTCCGAATTCTGCCACTGACTCACTGTGTTTTTTGGCAAGTAACTTATCCTCTCTGAAACAAGTTCTTGATTCTTTACTTCTCTGTTTGTAAAGTTAGCATAATAATATTGTACTGACCTCAGATGGGTTGTGTAATGGTTTCCCACTTTAGAACTTTCCAGCATAAAAATTGTATAGATTTTCATTGCTTTGCTTTTTAAAATATATATTTCTAAATTGCTATCTGTTTATTAGGTAAGCATATTGGACAATTTAAATGCAAAACAAAACCCTTACTGTACTGTTCAAAACATAGGCAAACCTGATGAAGTTTAGTTATATGTAACATATTAAGGACTGTACCCTACACAGTATGAATACTTATTTTATTCATTTATTTTAGTGTCAGAAAAAAGAAGAATTTATTGAAAGAATTCAAGGTTTAGATTTTGATACAAAAGCAGCAGTTGCCGCACATATTCAAGAGGTAATGACCTGTATACAATTTTTATGTACTATTTATGAAACCGTGGTATGTTTATTTGTATATCTCCAAAAATACTTTTAAGTCATAAGGTTAAGCAAGAACAAATCAAGATGAAATATAAATGCACCCTGCTTTTATACAAATGGTCTTCTCTTTAGAGATAGTTCTTTAAATGAATCATCTTATACATGGCACAGTGCTAACTACAAATGTACTGTTGCCTTTATCTATAGGGACATAGGCAGAAAGTGTTATATGAGGAATGAAGTATATGTGTCTTTGTTAGACAGACAGAATGAATAGTTCAGTGAATGGAAATAGCCGAAAGTGGAACGCTGCTTGTAATTTAAAACTTCAGTGAGGGAAGATGATAAGCTTAATTATTCTAATGATTTTCTTTTGAATGAATGGACATAGCATAATTTTTATTGAAGATATTACTTGAATTATAAACACATTAATGACTTGTAGCAATCATATAAAACTTAAATCTAGGGCATATTGTGCAGTGTCAAATAATTGAAGTTAATAAAATTTATTTGTTAAGATTGACTTTAAAAGCTGCTTTTTCTGCATCTATCTATCCTTGGGCTTTTAGTCTCAAAGACTTTTTAGAATTACAATATATTAAATTTTACAAGTTGATAAGAAAAGGGAAAGGAGAAAATTTTTAAATAGTGAAAATTTATAGTACTTAAAATATTCTTTATTTAGATGACTTTGTGTTCCACAGATCATCTTTTCACTTAGTTAACATTCATAGAGCCCAGATTTCTTGTAACATAATTGTCAACAGTAAGCATATTAGTACTTTACAAGATATAGTTTTATTGGTAGTCTCCCTTTATACATGTTTGTTTGTGATAGCTATGTGGTTTTATTTCATTTCAAATAAATGCTAGGTATTCCAAGTTACTGAATTTGCCACCATCCTTGAAAGTTAATTTTTGCCGTTTGTTGTAAAAGTTAAAGCAACGTATCAAAATCACAGTGAGAAATAGAAAATAAGCAATAAGTATTCACTTACATAACTTTTCCATTCTTGTAAATATCTTTATAATGGGAATCCTTTCTCCTAAGGTTCACAACAATGTGATCTTCAGAATCTATAAAGACTTAGCTATTCCAAATATAAAAGTGCAATAACATATATCCTACAAGATGAAAAACCTCTTGCTTTTGAATTCAAGTAAAATAAATTTAAAGTCTTACCTAAAGAAAAGTTCAATTGATTTTGTTAAAAAAGTTGTCAGATATATCAATCTTATTTTCCCTTAGGAATGCCTTGAATTAATTTTTTTGTTGTTGTTGACTAGAAAATGAATGTTAAATTCATTTAAAGATTATATTTAAATCAATTTTTAGTTACAGTTTTCATCATTAATTTCAAATACTATTCTTTTGATATATTGGCTTTTTATATTTTTATTATGTGAGTTATATAATATTTTAGCTAATATTGTACTATAATGAAATAGATTTTTCAATATTAGCCTTTTTTTTTTTTTTTTTTTGTTGCTTTTCTAAAGGTAACCCATAATCAGGAAAATGTGTTTGATCTGCAGTGGATGGAAGTGACTGATATGTCTCAGGAGGACATAGAACCGCTCTTGAAAAATATGGCATTGCATCTAAAAAGACTTATAGATGAGAGAGATGAACATTCAGAGGTTTGTAAATTTCTTTCATATATTGTGAAAATTTGCTTTCCAAAAAAGAAAATAGTAGCCTTAGAAGTTTTTCAGAATTGACACTCTGTTTCTTAGGTACAGGTAATAAGGTACTGTGTCTTTTTTGTTGTAGAACACACTTGAACCAGAAGGATGTACAGGAACCCTAAATTGCTAGTAAATGAATTGCAATTAAGTTTTCTTTTCTACTTTCATTTTAAATTAGTATTATTCTGATTTTGCTTGTGTGTGTTTTTTAAGTCACTCCCACATCTCTGGCAACAATACAGAAGTGTGAAACTGAAAATATGGTTGATGTAAGTGGAAAAATTATTGCCTTGAAGCATAAGAATTTGCTTAAGGTTAATTTCTTAGTTTTATTGCCACATTTTGAAGTTGGAGAAATAAGTATTAATAAAAGGAGAATAACAGGTGTTCTGAATAAAATGTCTCACAAAAGATCTCAAATTTTTGTAGTTAGTATGATGAAGTGTGATTTTAAAAAGAATTATTATAAGTTCCTTTAAGACAGAACTTTGCTTTTAAAAGAGAGTAACATTGCACCAAATTTTCTGTCTGCACTCTCTAAAAGCAATTTATAATTTTAGAGAAGTCTAGACTTTAGTGCACGTGGTGGTGAGTAATATTTTCTTAATAGCAGAGCAAAGTACTCTGACATTCAGGAGAACATATAACTTTTATCATTTGTTCCATTTACATGTGCGAGACAGTTTTGAGCTCATTTATAGAGAATTTATATGATTACTCTTGAGACCAATGAAAGACTACATAGAGAAAATTCCTAAAGATTTTTTTTTCAGAACAAAGCTTTCATGTCTCTAAAGAGGATATTCAGTTCTGATGAGAATTTTCGAGTTTTCTTCAGGCATTAAAAGAGAAGAAAATACAAGAAATAAATAAGGGTGGCTGCGGTGGCTCACACCTATAATCCCAGCACTCTGGGAGTCTAAGGCAGGAGGATTGCCAGAGGCCAGAATTTGAGACCAGCCTGAGCAACATAATGAGACCCTTGTCTCTACAAAAAAAAAATTAGCTGGGCTCAGTGGCATGCACCTGTAGTCCTAGCTAGTCGCGAGGCTGAGGCAGGAGGATCTCTTGAGCCTAGAAGTTTGAGGCTGCAGTGAGCTATAATCACACCACTGCTCTCCAGTCTACATATCCATGGGAGACCCTGTCTCTTAAAAAAGTAAACAAATAAACAAACATTTTTAGAGCAACAATTTTTTTTTTTTTTAAAGTGAGGGCAGTGAGACCAAAGACAGGAAAGAGTAAATTGAAAGACATCCCTACTATGTATCAAACTTATCCTGAGATACTTAGATCATTCCATTTCATTCTAATTTTTGAACCATATGCTGTGTCTTCTTTTTGTTTTAGTGTCTTTTTACTGCTTTCTTCATTTTCTAGAACATTCCTCTATTTATATTGGAAGTTATTAAGGTATTACAATAAGGTATTCTCCAGTTTCTGAGAAATTACTTCTAAAAATCTGTACTTTGGTTTTATATGACTGATGGGCATGTATAAAATGTTTGATCTCATTTAAATGAAGTGATTAATATGGAGTGAACAAAATACCTGTCATTACATGACTCTGACAAAACTAAAGGAATATGAAATACTATATAAATTGATTGTTTGAAAAACCTCTTAAAATATATTATTCTGCTTGATTAAGCAGTTTTTTTGAATTTGTTTTTTTTAAACAAGGAATAAAAAAGTGGTCATATTCTCTTGTCTCAGATATTTGGGAAACAAGTTGCTAGCTGGTTTAAATCCAATTCTCTGGGGAAGTTTTTTCCAATTTGGATCACCAATAGATGAATTAGAAAAGGTCATTTAGGCTGGGCGCGGTGGCTCACGCCTGTAATCCTAGCACTCTGGGAGGCCAAGGCGGGTGGATCGCTCAAGGTCAGGAGTTCAAGACCAGCCTGAGCAAGAGGGAGACCCCGTCTCTACTAAAAATAGAAAGAAATTATCTGGACAACTAAAAATATATATATAGAAAAAATTAGCCGGGCATGGTGGCGCATGCCTGTAGTCCCAGCTACTCGGGAGGCTGAGGCAGGAGGATCGCTTGAGCCCAGGAGTTTGAGGTTGCTGTGAGCTAGGTTGACGCCACGGAACTCTAGCCAGGGCAACAGAGTGAGACTCTGTCTCAAAAAAAAAAAAAGGTCATTTAAAATAATGACAAGATATTAGACAAATGTAAAGATAGTATATAAATCTAATGATTTTATATCATTCAGTTGGATTGAAATAAGATTTTCTCTTTAACTTTTTTCTATTTTGATTGATATTTTGTTATAATTGTCTCACCTCAGTCTAAATATATTTCTCTTTACTTTTTTATTTTTAGTGCTATAGAACAGTGACTTCAGTCCTCTCCTTTTACTAAAAGCCAAATAGCATATTAATGAATTTAAGATCTCTTCATTATCACTGTTTATTTTATGGCAGACTTTGTGCTGTAAGTTTAACCCCATTTTAGAAATGAAGATACTTGAGCTCAGAAAAGTTAAATAGCTTGACAGATCTGTCTAACTCCACTGCTTGTGTTCCTAACCATTATATTTTAATACCTTTGCCCAAATCCATGATTATGTTGAGTACATCTCTAATTCCTTTCCTTAATGATTTCTATAAGTAGAATTAATAGGTCATCTAGTAGATCATCTGATTTTTTTTCTTAGCATTGATGTATCTTTTTATGTTCATTCCTTAATATATATTAAGAAACACCTACTTTTTGGAAGATTTTATGCTAGAATACTTGGGAGCAACAAACTGACAAAGTGTTTCAAAAAAGAACCAAAGATTATTACAGTCTAATAGGGAAGTTATTTTAATAAAATAATTAACTGTAGTAAAATTTTTAAAGTGGTAAATACCAAAAATGATATATCTCTAAATACTATAGGAATTTAAAGAAGGAAGATTTACTTGTAACTTCTAGTTGGAAGGATCAAGGAAGGCTTATGAAATTAGAGTTCTACTTTAATAACATTTTCTGTCAGATTATTCTGAAAATGTACGGAAAACCTTGAGCTCAAGAAGCTACCACGATTAGAGAAAAGTCACAATGTTTAAATAATCCTTAATGGAAAATACCTCTGGACACTTACACTGGGTTTGTTTCTTCCCTCTCTGCCTCCCTTCCTTCCCTCCATCTTTTGTATTCTTTTCATTGGCATATGGAAGCTCTTGATAGCCCCATTTCATCACCTCTTGAGTTCAAATGTAGTATGTGTCTTCTGTAGTTTTCTTCTGTTCTCCATTTTGTGAATTGCTTAGTTGAATGTTTTTGAGCACCTCTTTGTGCACCATACTGTACTAGATAAGAGATCAAGAGATACAAAGGAGGTGTGAGAAGGACTATATCTGGTTTATTAAGAAAATTTGCATTATTTGTAAGTGAAAAAATGAGTTAGCATATAATTAAGTGCTAATTTGTTTGCGCATGGAACAAATATTTATTAAATACTATCTACCAGATACTATTGTTAGAGTTAGGATATATTAGAAAGCAAAATTAAAGATACTTGGGACAGTAAGAAAATATAAATGAAAGTTGACCCCAAGGATGTGGAGCCTGGGCTACTATGAATATTAATAACACTATTACAGAGATAGGGAAGTTGGGATCAGCATGCTGGGTGGAGGTATGATGAGGTAGTGTCAATAGACCTACAAAACACACTTCAAGAAGTGGCAAGAGGGAATATGGTTTTATTTTTCCTAGATGGAAGAAACTTGTATATCTTTGAAGAACAAGGAGAAAAAAGCCAGTAGGAAGAAAGAAACTGCAAATGTTTAAATAAAGAATATAGGTTAGGAGCAAAAAAAAAAAAAAATGCATAAAAAGGGAGGAGTTAATCCCAGGTGGTTTTGTTTCTTTGGCAAATTGGAGGAGAGGTTATTTGTTTGAAGTAAATGATAGTGTTTGCAGTTGGCTTAAGTAGAGTAAAGGGAATATATTTGCAACAGTCATCATGGGGAAATTTGCTAGGAAATCAGCAAGATTTCAGTAAGAGAATAGATGGGTAGTAGAGATTAATTGAAAATGGATGGCAAAATCTGCAGTAGGGCTGTGTGACTTTTTGTTTTTTCTTAGAGCTTTATCATCTTGGAGCAGGAATAGAGAAAACTGATGGTAGGTAAGGAAGATAACATAGTGTTGGAGTCAAACTTAAATTTGAATTCCTGGTATCCCTATCATTGCTTGTGTGACTTTGGTTGAGTTAATCGATATGCACCTCAGTTTCTTCATGTCACAAATAAACATAATTCCTTTATTTCAGATTATGGTATTGAATGAGATCTTGGAAAATCCCCTAGCTAGGAGTTCTGTAAATGTTAATTCCCCCTTTCCCCAAAGAGTGAGCCATCATCATACAACAGCATGGTAGTGTTAAATTTAAAAGTAAGAGTGACATTTAAGGGTCTAATTGTAGTTCCAGGTTAAGGAAACTCTAGAGTTGCTAGAAATAATCTGTTTGAGCAAAAGGGGTAGGAGTTGAGGTTAAGGTGTGGGTATGGTGATGTGGGGTAATGATAGTAAAGGAGACATGCCACAAAGGAAGAAGTCTGTGTGCATTGGATAGGGAGACAGAGTGTAGAGAGAAAAGGAACTGGGAAATCATTTTCTGTGGTTTATCAACAGGCACACTGGAATCTGAAAGTGATGGTTGCAGGCAGGAAGATAGGACAGACCTTGATGCAGGTGCTGAAATGTATCCCAAGGATAAAGAAATGAATTCTGGTAGATGGTTGTAAGAAGAAACAAAAAGCACAGTGATTCACTGAGGGTGGATAAGACTTGATGATGAGAAATAAATCAAGGGTGGTGATTTCGTGGTCCCAATGTGGTGACTGTACCCATTCTAGAGTAGTAGGACAGTTGAAATTGCCACAGAAGACAATTTCTGTTTGCCTGAGAAATTTGAAAAAAAAGCCTGAGATAATTTACCAATAAAGAAAAGGGATTTTAGGGGAATGGAGGAATATGATTGTGTGAGGTACATGTGGGTTAAATAGCTCTTAAAGTTTAGGTTTAGAAAAGGAGGAGATTTGTGTCCCATAGAGTGTCTCTAGAGGAAAGAATAAAGGAAGCTTTGAGTTAAGAAACAGGTTGGAACTAGTATGTAGGAGAGAGCACATAGGATGTAGAGCGTAGGATGTGGGAGCCTTGGCATAGCTATTAGCTAGCTGTGTGATCATGGGCAAATCAATAACTGTGCCCCAGTTACCTTACTGCAGAATAAAGAGATTGAACTAAACCTCTGAAGTTTTGTTAAGTCCTTCTGAGATGCCTGTTTTTAATTTTAGAGCACTGCAATCAAAGTCTGCAACGATGGCAAGTTTGTATTTCTGGGTTGTCCATTAGCCACATATAGACATAAAGCTGTTGTGTACTTGAAATATGGCTTGTGTGACTAAGGAACTGACTTTTAGCTTTAAAAATTTTTTAATTAAATAGCCACCTGTGCTACTGGCTATTGGACAGCACAGTTCTAAACAGATCACTCTTGGGTTAATTTCCTTCCTTTGTCAACAAATCTTTTATGTCTTTCTAACATTTGCTATCTAATCTAGTTATTAATAAAATAAAGTTGATTTCTTTTTTTAAAAAACTAGGAAAGGATAAAAGAATTAAGCCTTGTTCTAGTGTTACGTACTAAATAGTTCATGCACAACTATTGAATGAAACTTTTAAAAATGGCAGCTAAATATGACAAAGTTAAAATGTTTTTGACCAGTGAATTTTTTTGATATTGTAGTATAATACTTAGACTCAGTGAATAGTATTGATGTGTTTATTTTGCTGATACGTAGAGTACTAAAATTGAGTCTGTGTTTATTTCTATAATTTCTTAGACTATCATAGAGCTCTCTGAAGAGCGGGATGGTCTTCATTTTCTGCCCCATGCCTCTTCATCCGCACAGTCACCCTGTGGTTCTCCAGGCATGAAGCGAACAGAAAGTCGACAACATCTGTCAGTGGAACTGGCAGATGCTAAAGCCAAGATAAGAAGGCTTAGGCAGGAACTGTAAGTTGCTGATTTTCACGGTTCATTGAATTTATATGGTACCAAAGGTGACCTAACCAATATTTTTAGGCTTATGGAATATAAATTAGTGGCTTTCCATTTTTAGTTTGTGTCAATTTTTTCACTAGTGTGTGTCAAAATGAGAAAAATAAGAAAAAACATAATGCTTTCCTAATGTTAAATTTATCAATTTAAAGGATGCCCTTTATTCTGGATTTATGTCCTTCTTATCTTTCTAATGTCTTTTCTTTTATAAAATAGTGTCCTTTGTTGGCAAATTGGGAATCTCCTTAATTATTTTTTATTTTTATATTCCTTGAAATTCAAATTACTGGAAACCACTGATGTAGATCAGAGTTTAGGTTTTTAAAATTAATGTCTTAAAAGCCAAAATTGTTGGCATGTAGTATTACAAAACAATAAATTTTTCTGTGTATCTTCTACATTGACTGATTGAAGTGCCTGTGTCATGTACTTAGTAAAGGTAAATATAGTCACATGCTGCATAATGATGTTTCAGTCAACAATGGGTGTTCCCATGAGGTTATAAATGAACTGAAAAATTCCTGTCACCTAGTGACATCTTGATGTTCTTGACCCTGTGTAGGCCTAGGCTCATGTGTGTGTTTATGTCTTAGTTTTTTTTAAAAAAATTTAAAAAGTAAAAAAAAAAAAAAAAAAAATTTAAAAACAGAAAAAGCTGATAGAATAAGGATATAAAGAAAAAATATTTTTGTACAGCTGTACAATGTGTTTATGTTTTAAGCTAAGTGTTAATACAAAACAGTTAACAAATTTTTAAAAATTAAGTTTATAAAGTAACAAAGTTACAGTGAACTAAGTAAGGTTAATTTATTATAGAAAAAAAAATTTTTTAAGTTTAGTGTAGCCCAAGTGTATAGTGTTTAGAAAGTGTACAGTAGTACACAGTAATGTTCTAGGCCTTCATTTGCTCACTGACTCATGCAAAGCAACCTACAGTCCTGCATGCTCCATTCATGGTAAGCACCCTATACAAGTGTACCATTTTTTATCTTTTATACCATATTTTTTACTATACTTTTTCTGTGTTTAGATATGCAGACACTTACATTGTGTTCTATACGATAACATGCTGTATAGATTTGTAGCCTAGGAGCAATAGGCTACACTATAGCCTAGGTGTATAGTAACATGTACTATCTAGGTCTGTGTAAGTACTGTACATGATGTTCGCACAATGAGGAAATTGCCTAATGACACATTTCTTAGAGTGTATTCTCGTTAAACGATGCATGACTGTATTTAGATTAATTTTCAAAGATTGTTATAAAAAAAGTATAAATGACATAAGCATTCCTTGGTGAACCACAAGTAAAGATGTGACCAATCTCTGCTGGAGCTTTCTTATTTTGTACTTTAAAAGAAAGAAAGGATTTTTGTTTGTGCGGCTTTATTCTTTCTTTTAAAATTTTTTTAGGTGGTTTTCCTGGAACTTGAGCTTCAGAGTGTAGATTTTAAATTTAAAACCACAATATAGCAATTAAATTTGTTTACTGATTATTTAAAGCAGTTGTACGAAGTGATTGAATATGCAAGGTAGAAAAAAACATTACAATCTATAGGAAAATTTGAAAACAAAAAAAAATACAGCTTTCACTTGTGGATGTCTGCATTATTATGTATCTATTGAAATGAATACGCCCAGGATATTCTATAAACAGCTGCACCAGGAAAATTACGGAACAAGAAGTCTGTGTGCATTGGATAGGGAGACAGAG